TTCATACTATTCAAGATTCAAATATGAAAATAACTAATAAGAAATAATAAAAAGTTTTTAGAAATAGAAATAAAACAATGGCAAACAAATAATATTAATGACATATCTAGAAAAAAATTAGTTACAATAAAATAAAATAAAATTACATCACCGACTTTTAATGCAAAATTCTAGAAGGCGAGAATTTGGATTAATTAATAAAATAAGGAGAAATGAAAATTTTTTAAGGTTACGGGTGCAAGTGTGAGCCAATGAAATGATAGCACAATTTGGTAGAAATTGGGTAAAAGAAAAAAAATAAAAGAAGAAATTCAACGTTTGGTATTAATTTAATATTTAAGTTGGTAAAGATATTGACTATAGAACTAATAAAGACTTTTAGTCAAGCCAAAGATTGAGTGGGCTGTACTCCAATGAATAAGTTTACCTCAACAAAGTTAATATTTTTGTTAAAGGTAGTAAATGCCAAATATTACCTAAATATGAGAGATTATTACGTGGAAAATTTGGATGTAGCTTGCGCCTAAACTCCAATAAGTTTGTGTCACATCGTTAGTATACAGTAGGGTATACAACTTGTATATCTGTCTAGACTCCGCACAATAATTTCTCTTATAATCAACAGAAGATTAGACAAGAGGACACCGTGTCAACAAACAATTGAAATTTTGTACATTAGAATCATTAATGATAAGTCCATCATTTTGATTGCAAATTTATATGGTATATGTTAAATCCAACATACATTGCATTGTGCTGAACTACGAAAACAAATGTTAAATTTATAATTCAATGTTTAAATTATTCTTCTTTAGCGCCTTCTTTGATTTAAGATATTGAGATTTCTTCATATATAACCAAAGTTGTCAAAAGACGATTAATCTTTCAATTGACAAGGTACCTTTGGAATTCCCTAAGTGATAGTATGGATAATCTTCCCATGTAATATGGCTTAAGACTTATGTTTTGATATAAAAACAAAGGCTATGATTGTGGTAGCATAGGTGATGATGATGCCACAAATTTAAAGCCAAGGGAACTACAACATTTGTTGGAGGTTCATTGTGGATGTTTACATTAGTTACAATGAATATAAGCTGAAGCTAACAATTTGATTAGGATACCAAACTTGTTCATTCATGAAAATTATCCATATGAATCATTGTAGACACATCATTATTGAAATTTGCTTCTTAAGAGTCTTTGAAGGAATCTTTTTCGTCTAAAATGAATATAATGACTTTTGCTAATGAAATTGGAAATCTCATGTATTTTGGTGATGATGGTCTCTGTAAGGTTTGGAAATGACTACATTGCAGACTATCCATGAGTGATATCATCCAAAATCTATTATGTAAAATTGGGACTATGCAAAATAAGATCAAAGAACATAACATTTGACAATTAATTGTCATTTGATATCCTACAACAAAAAACTTCTCTAGGTTCCCTTATGAAATTTCTTTGAAAACCCTTTGCTATGTGGAGATCGGGTTAGATATTCTTTCTATAGATAAACATGTATCAAGACTTAGCATCACTCAAGGTCTTTGTATAACTGAACAAAGTTGACTACAATTCACCTATGAACAGGAATAGAGAATTCATAGTGCCCACATAAACTAACCTACAAAGTACAAGGAGCTTGTATCAAACAAATCAATCTATCTACGAGAGAGAATAGGAGAACTTATAGCAAGCAAGATAATTCTCATATGAATACGAGCACGATCTCCTAATACATATTGAGCAAATACCCTTTACGAGCTGTACTAAATGACACTTTAAAGAATCAAAGTGAACTAAACAATACATCTCTTATAAATGAAAGAACTGAAGCTAAAAACCTTTTACGCCATTGGATATGCAACCCTACTTCTACAAGCGGACAGAAGGCGACAACCTACGATAATACTAAAAATACATTTGAAAATATACCCATGCATGTGCTCCGATAAACATGCTAAAATTACAAACACAAATGTCTAAGAATGATGCGTATGGTCAAAATGCTCGCTAATATAATATTTTATTGTAGAACTAAACATGTCATGAATATGCTCTGATTGTCACATTTGAGTCTCAAATCCAACGCTTCGAGAAGGTTGCGTGGGATCAAATACTCAAGTCTCATCCTCCTCGAAAATAATGGAGTTGACATGACGTGAATTGCAAGATGCCTTCCAAATTCCTACGAAAATACAAGTAACATTAACGTCACTCCAATAATGGCCGTGTTGAAGAAAATTATCAACCGAAGGGGTCAAATCTCAAATCCAATAAAAGTTTAAACCCCCAAAATGAAATCTATCGCCTAAAAACTTAAAACTAAAATCATCCACCTCCCGTAACTATTTGTCTGGAGTGATAAATTTGAAATTAAACTAAGCTCTCAAAGAACGAATGTTTTGTCAGGTGTATTACTAAGGTTTATCCTTAAATAGTCTCTTGCCAGCAAGGACATGACACATGTCCTCTGATCGGATAGTTCTTTTCGCAAAATGGCACTATTATATTACGATCATGGTCAAAGTCTGTATGTTCCCTAATGGCGTCAAACCCTTGAGTAATGAATCATATGGTTTATTCGATAGGCATAAAGCTCTCTATCAGCTAAGGTAGATTCAGATCTATCCCCTTCGACAAACATCAACCCAAGTCTACAAGGTATTCTTGGACTAAGCAACCAATGGTTGTCGATAAGCTGCCTTCTGTCAGGTTGGGTCGACTACCTCCTATGACTAAGTAGACCAAGGATTATAATAGCCTGGGACGACTGCCTTCTGTCAAGCCTGCCATGAAGCTTTTAAGGTGGTTTGGGGTCAAACAATGCAACAATAACCATATTGAGCAACCATTAAAAGGAGCAGTCATAAAGCTTCTATAGAAGAGGAAGCAAGGCATAGTTGTGCTGATTCATCTTCATAGCTCATCGAAGTGGCTAAACCCTAAACACAAGGCTAAGGATGGAAATGTGTTGCCTTGTGGTTAGGCATCAAAGATCGCACATGGAGGGGAGCATATGGTTGCAATGTCTATATTTATACCATCACTTGTTATTAAATCATAAATGGTTGCAATGTCTATGTTTATGCCTATATTTATACCATCACTTGTTATTAAATTATAAGTAGGTCATATTCATCCTAATAATCCCCTTTACATTTCAAAAAATATTATAAAAAGATTTTAAAATTCCATTTCGCATAAATTAATAACAAAATATTCCTATTTAAGTTTGATTTTTTTGTTGTTGATTTTTAATTAATTCAATTCATTGTCACTGATTTATAATATTTATAATGTAACGCTAACATTCTATCAATTCATATATGGTGTTGTTATTTTTAGATTAATTAATAAACTGCATTATTGATTAATTTATGCTAACTAATTAATATTAATTAAAGGGACCAAATTTTTTATGTCAATAGGTATGTGTTTGTGCATACAAGCCCCTATCTCCAGGTGCCTTTGATCCTCCACTACTGGGCTAGCTCCATAGCCTCTCCCAAATCATGGAGCCTCATCACTCTACTACTGCCTGAATCTCTGGTCTGAGCTCTTTCATAAAATTCTCCTCCAATACAATCTCTAGAAGTAGGTCCAGTTGTTGGGCCAGGTGCTCAAACTGCTCACAATACTCCACAATTGTCCCCTCCCGCATCAACAAGAAGAACTGCTCATATAAGTCTCACCCCTACTAGTTCAGAAACGTTCCAATAAGCAGTACTTAAACTCCCTCCAAGTCTATATGGGTCGTCTCACATCCCTCCACTAGTACCATGTCAATGCTTTCCCCTCCAAGCACATCCCAACTTCCATTAATCTCTCCTCCGTCAACCTATTGAATGTAAAGTACATTTCTACCATGTATATACACCTATGTGCATCCTCTCTCTCAAAAAATAGGCATATTCAATTTCCTCACCATCGGATCTCCTCAATTCCCCCTGTTTCCCCATAATTTCCAATTCCCCCAAGGGGGTGATTCCCTCCAAGTGTCCCAGTCATCTCTTATATGCTCATACTCAAACTTTCACTAAAATCTCACCTTTTTTTTTTCCAAATTCAGCACCCCTAGGATCATAATCAGCCCCACTCCTTTCAAATTCAACATCCCTTCGGTCATAATCAACCCCTCTCATTTCAAATTTTATATCTCTTCTCTCTCATTCAGCACCCCTTCATTCAAGTTCGTTCCCCTCACACATTTCCCCATACCCTCCACACAACACCTCCCTAAGAATAGGCTTTATGGGAGGCATTATCTCTTCTCCCTCCAAAATCACCACCTCCTGATCTTTCTTTGGCCTCATCGGATTAGGGTTTTCCCCACTTCCTTGGTTGTCGGCGACTTCCCTTGTCTCCGACGATGCCGTTTGGGGTTGGCCCTCGAGCAACTTCTTCAAAATCTCCTCTATGTTGGAAAATTTTTCTAAAATTTGACTTTTGAAATATGAAAATTAAGTTTATAGATCCGAAATTTCATATTTCGATTGTCTGATCTCTCCCTTTCTTCCTGCCATATGTACATGGATTAACACTCCAAATCGTAAAAAATAGTAATTTTGGTCTTAAAACAAAAAAATCAGCACTTTAGAGGGGGAAACACGATAGAAATTAGCAAGGAAAGACCTCAATTTCAGCCCTTGACACCAATTTGATAGGAAGTGAATGTAAAAATTGAGAAAACTAGGAAGAACACACAATAACTTTTTTATGGAAAGATGTATAAAAGAAAAAGCAAGATGCCATTTGATCTTCATTTGGAGAGGAGGATCCGGCACTCCCAAATCCCTAACCGCCGGCTAGAGCCTTCTCAAAAAAGACTACAACAAACACAAATCACCTCCAATGACGCCATCTTGGGTTGGCCCTCGAACAACTTCTTCAACATCTCCTCCAGAATGGAAAATTTCTCATCGATCTTCTCATAGACGGTTGAAATTAGACTTTTGAAATCTGAAAATCGAGTTGGAGATCCTAAATTTCATATTTCAATTGTCTGATCTCCCCCTCCAACACTTCTACATTTCTTACCTCCAAAGGCACCCAGCTCAAGGCTCCAAATCGCAAAAATAGTACTTATGGTCTTCAAACAGTAAAAATCAATACTTAGGAGGGGAAACACATTAGAAATTGGCAAGAAAATGTCTCAATTTCAGCCCAGGGCACCACTCTGATACCAATTTGAAAGGAAGTGAATGCAATTTTAGCACAACTAGATAACGGCACAAGAAATTTAGGAAGAAGAACACACAGGAACCTTTTTTTGTAATATAAATGAAAGAAAATAACAAGATGATGTTTGATCTTCAATTGGAGAGGAAGAACCGGCTCTCCCAAATTTCTAGCCGGCTGCTAGAATCCCCACAACCTAAGAAATTCTAATTTGAACAAACTCAAAACATGATCCTGAAATCACCCCATTGTTAGCCTTGAATGAACTCCCCTAATTCCCTCCCAAATCAGCCTCCTTTCCCTGAATAATTCTCTCTCATATTTAAATTCAAATTAAATCTCTTGCCCTAAATAATTCCCTCCCAATTATAATTAAACCTTTCTTAAAAAAAATTCCCTTTGATTAAGAACCTTCCTAAATAGCTCCCACCTGATTAAAAAACTTTCTAATTCCCTCCCAATCAAGTCGGCCGGTCCATCATCAGGTTACAAAACTCTCCCATGGTTGATCTTAAAAATAAAATTGCAGCTTCAACTTGGCATCCAATCAAAAGGAATTGAATTCAAACTCTACAGCATTGATGCGGATAAGAAGTTGCAATAAAATCATGCAACAAGATATCTGATCCAATAGATGCACTGGTCTACAAAAGGGTATCAAGGAATTGACTCACAGTAGTGTATTTAACATTTGGATATAATCTGATTGCATCAACGCCAGCTTCGTCAATGTTAAAGTAGGTGTGATCACCTTTAATAAATGCAGAATATATAAAAACCAACTCCATATTGTCTGGATATGGCATATCTGCAACATCAATAAACACACATCAGTACAATAGGAAAATCTCTTTCAGCAGAATTCTGAAGATCGCACAATTTTTTATTTTTTATTTACAATTCGCATACCTTGAATGTTCTTAAGAAGCTTCTCCTCCGGAATATAATCCTTCTGAAGGTTCTTTGTTATTTTCATCTCCCAAAGGTCCACAAGGTCATTCATTGAGACAACGTTACCAGGTGGTCTCAGGTATAATACCTTATTCAAAGTCCTTGGATCATCAATGCTAGAAATTGTGAAAGCAGCAACATCGGACTCCTTAACGAAGACAGCTGCAAGGAAAAATTACCGTGAATAAACCACTAACATTCTTCGGAACAAAACATGAATAAACTTTCCTATCCATCAAACCTTTAGAATTTCCATTGCCATAGATTTTTACTTTATCTCTGGGAGGAATCTTAGAGCCGGGTTGCACAAGTGATGGAAGCAAATAGGTCATGAAAAAGTTGCATGAAATGTATGTGTGGGGGATTCCTTCACTCTCAATAAGTCGTCGAATTTCTGCTTTCTTCTTGTAAAAGCCCATGTCCATGTCCAAGATTTGTACTTTATCAGGGTCAGCTCCAAATTCTGAAGGAATGAACCTCTGCATCCAGTCCATTAGCAGCAGCGGCAGTCATAATATGTGTGCATTCGATAGCTCTATTTTGATGGTTGAAGATGAATGAAAAGAAAAACTCCCATTCCATAAACCAGTAAATGAAATGTTAGATGGTGGAGCCACTAGTTGGCCGATCATCTCGTGGAGATCACAAAGATGTGTGCCTTACGACATAGGAGCATTGTGTTGCCCATAATATTTTGAGGAGTAAAAAGTCAAAAAATAGAGGTTCTAGATTTTGGTTGGGATACTTTTAAATGTAGGACCTTCATAAGCACATTAGTTTAACAATTCAATTAAAAATCAATATGCTTAGAAATTTGAAGAAAAGTAAAATTCTACAAAGAAATAAACCCCACTGCAAGGCAGTCCCATTAATGGATTGTAAGATCCATCTTACTAATATTATCTTCGGAGATGCTATAAGTTACATAATGTCTATTTCTTTTTCAGAAAGGGATATTTACATGGGCATTTAGAGTGTCTCGGGAGGAACTATAATGAATCCTAGCGTTTGGAAGTGTGGCAAGGGCACATCCTTTGTTCCTTTTAGAGGCAACTCCCGTAAAATCCCTCTCCTCTCTTGCTTCGGCTGCATGCGGCACTCAAATGAATGGAATAGTGGAAAACTCTATATTTAAAGAGCCGTTAGTAGCCTAGTGCTACGGCGCTAGTTCAAAATCTCAAATTCCAGAGTCGGGAGCGCTGCAATGTCACTATTTGACGGCTGGTAATGCAGCACTGAGGCGCTCGTACACCCAACATTGGGGCGCTCCAATAGTGATATTTCTCATATTTTGTTGAAATTTTCTCTAAACCCTTGGGATTCATTCCAGAACATATACAACTATTTGCATGCACCAAAACATTCCCAAAGACATGCAAATGTATTTAAAACTCAACAATTAAAAATTTTACATTTCTCAATCAGGTCAAAACAGTTCAAACCAAAGGCTGAATCTAAAGGTGTCACATAATGAAGCTAGCCTAAATAGTAGAGGATCGGAGATAGATAGAGAAGATCGGTAAGAGTGGAGTAGTCGAAGGCTCTTACAGAAGTACCTTGACTTCACTGGCACCGAGAACATACAGTGTTATTTTAACGAGAGGACCCAAGGGAGAAGAATAGGGGAGCTTGCTGTTAGGCGGGCCCCTCCGGTCCTTACTTACTCTAGGCGGGCCCCACATGGAGTTAATTCAAGGGTTGGAGGGAAAATTTGAATGGAAAGGGGGGGAATTTGAATAGAAGGGCTGTTTAGGGATTTTGTATGGGGATGAGAGTTAAAGAGGGGGAAAGGGGGGAATTAGGTCCTCATCTTGAATTTGAATGAAAAGTTTGAGATCTCATTGTGTGCTTGGGCTCTAGGGTTTGCTAGAGACTTGTGGAGAGTTGTTCTTCCTCTCGAATCGAAGGACGTTGTATCTTTCTTTGTTTTCTTGCATCTACTAGTGGAAACCTTGTTTCTTTTCCTTATTTTTCTCTGTTTGGGTGCATTTCCTGCTGCGGAGCTGCTGTAAAACTGCTGGGACAGCAGTTTTGCTCACTGTTTTAGGCTAATTTTGACTAGGGTTGCTTGCGAACTCAAGTATTACCTTAGGGTTACTTGCGAACTCAAGTATTTCCTATCACTTGCCTTGAGGCCCACTTCAAGTACCTCACAGATGTAGAGATGAAAGACAAGAGAGTGAATGGTTTGTGCTTTTACTGTGATGAGAAGTATGCACCAGGCCATCAATACAATGATTGCACACTCCAGGTTATTATGGCCTGTGATGAGGAGGAGATCGACAACGAGGATCTAGTGGAGGAAGCAGAAGAGATAAACCAGTCACTCCTGCAATAATTCAGGTGCTCCAAATGCCTCAATGCCTACCTCTCCCAAGGGAGCATGAGCATGCCATTAACCTGAAAGAATAGGTATCCACTATCAATGTTCGGCCTTACCAATACTCATATATTCAGAAGGATGAAATTGAGAGGCTAATGTTGGAGGCCAAGATCATTCGTCTCAGTGCCAACCTTTTCTCCAACCCTGTGTTGCTAGTGAAGAAAGATAGTAGTTGGAGATTTTTTGTAGACAATCGGGCTTTGAATAAGAAAATGGTGCTTGATAAGTTTCTTATCCTAGTCATTGATGAGTCTCTAGATGAGTTATATGGAGCAGTGATATTCTCCAAGATTGATATGAAATAAGGACACCATCAGATCAAAATGCAATATGCATGTAATACTCAAAACTTTTCGGATAGGAGGCAAGAATTTTTATACCCCAATTTTTTTATATACACCTCAAAATATCAATATCATATGTTTATAAATTCTTACCAAATATTAAGATCATTTAATTATATACATTTTTTATGTAAGGTAATTAGTTAAGTTTAACTAAATTAAATTACATGAAAATTTGTATAACTGCATAATGAGGTAACCATTAGTGTTTCTATATAAGTATTTATATATTAAAATATTGCATTATTTCTTAAAGTACTAAAGCACTTACTATGCATGCAATCACCTAAAGCACTATGGAGAGTTAGGATTAAACCGTGGGTAATGGAATGTTAATTTATTTTTTTATTCATCTGCATTACCTTATTTAGGAGATTTTGGTGGGCTCTCAGTTGGCATTTTAAACCGAGGCCAATTTCGTGTGGGAAAGGGGCAGTGCTGGAGAATGAAGGAACTGCTGAGGAAGTTCGGTTAAGGAATTCTGGAAGAACAAAAAGAAAAAAAAAAGTAAAGGAAAAGGAAAGGAGCAAAAGATAATATAGAAAAAGAGAGGAGCAAAAGGAGAAGAAGAGGAAGAGGTAAGAATTTTATATTTTTGTAAATGTTCATTTTTGTGTGAAGTTCCTAAATTAAATTCCTTAATTTTATATCTAGGTTTTAAGTTTAAAAACAAGAGAATTTTGAAGATTTGACAGATATATGAGGAGAGGAAGCTTGGAGGTAAGTGTTATTTTGGAATAATTAAATTATATGTATATGGTTAAGAAAAGATATATAAAATAAAAATATAAGTTGTATAAGCAGTCAAATCAAAAAATTTGGATTAATATAGGTATCGTACTCACGTAGAAGAATATGAGGTGTTAAATTTTCAAAAGCAGCTATGAGCGGAAGTAAGATATGCAATTTTAGTATAGCATACCAGTAATTTAATCTTATCTGTATACATGCATTTGAACTGATTGTGAGTGACTTATGTCTTAGCCTTCCTACACGTTGAGTAGTCTATGTGGAATCTGATGGTGTCGATCAATTGGATTGTGTTGTTACCTTGACCTCAAGTCAATTTCTCGTGCTTGTTTGTAAACCCCCTGCTTAGGTTCGGGTTTACCCCCTCAAGTCAATTCTTTTTGTTCATACAATGCCCCGGTGTTGTGTACCCAAGCGCCCCGGCGTTATATTCCTGAGTACCCCAGCACTGATTGACATAAAACTGAGCGCTGCAGCGCTCTAGATTTGGTTTCACAAGCTTTGTACACTGCAACGTTGTGTGTTTGGGTGCCGCAACATCATAATGACAGAGGCTTAAGTGTCGCAGCGCTCAACGCTAGCGCCGCAGTGCTTCGAGGCGGACTAGACAATTTTCTTTCTTATTTTTTTCTCAAGGGTTGCGTCCCTTTGAGTTATTAACTTGATTTTCTCTTGTATTGTGAGTGTTTAGAATAGGAGAACTGTGAGAATGATGTAAGAGAGAAGAGAAGCAAGAAGAGAGTGAGAGAGGAAAGTGATATGTTGATGCAGGACTTAAATGCCTAGGGGATGTTAATTAAGGATTTTGCACGCGTTAGTTTAGAGAACAATATTAATTAAGACATGTAGTGATTTAAACGATAAAATAAAATAAGAGAGCAATGAAACAAGCTTAGACCAAGTCACATGTATAAAAGTTAAGATCATAAAATAATCAATTATTCTAACGTTACATACATTGACGGTTTTCAACGATATATTCCTATATTAGCAATGAGACTAGTTACTATGAAAGAAAGATTCATCACTCAACTCTCTAAACTACTAAGTTTTAGCGAAGGAAATTAGCACTATCTTTATGAATCAATTAAAGACACAATTAAGAGTAACTAGGAAGATATAGGAGTTGGTGGAAAGGTTTACCCAACGGAAGAAGATACGAAACTCCAGTATGATCGTTTTGGATGTTGAGACGGAGTGAACAGCAACCCGACTTCCTGGCTGCCTTTGGACAGCACTTGGGCAACTTCTGAATGGTGAACATCAAACTAGATTGTGCTGGAGTCTTTGGACAGCAATCGGAGATCTCTTCAATTGGCTGGACAGCAAGGGGGAATGCTGGGATTTCCGGGACAGCGACTGGTTTATTACTGGACAGCAATTGGGGGCTGTTTGGATAGCAACATTGCTGGTCTTGAAGCTCTGAACAACAATTCCTTGGTCCATAATTCTGTACAGCAGTTGTTAACGGATCTAGGAGGCTAGGGTTTGATGTGGACTGCCAATGGGAAGAGGAAATATCTCTTAGTGGACTAAGGGAATCAGTTGGGGAAGGTAAAGAGAAGATTGATTCAAGAAAAGAGGGGAGGAGGTAGCTAGGGCCAGCGGCATGGTGAGTTGGAGTAGGGTTAGGGAGGGTGAATTTAAAACTTGCCTAATCAAGGACCTTTAATTGAGGAGGAGGATTTAAATCAAATCCAATTCGAAATTGATTTGGACTTGATTTAAGGAATTTTTCTAAAATAGATTATCAATTTTAGGAAGTATTTCAGAATTCAAATTTGATTGAATAATTGAAATCAAAGCTTTCCAAATGTGATTGGGTAGAGAAATGAAAGTAATAATGAGATGTTTGAATTGTGGAGGCAAGGTAAGGGGCAAGGGGCCAGAGACTAGGGTTAGGGTTAGGTTGGGGTTGCTGGTTTAGGGTTGGGAGAAGGGTGGTCGGTTGGGTGCAGTGGTGGAGGGGTTCGGCGGAGAGGGGAGGAGGGAATTAGGGGTGGCCGGCAGCTAGAAGGGGAGGGGGTTTCCTTTGAGGCCGACGGCTTGGAAGGAGAAGAGGTGGAGGTGGTGGGGAGGCTTGGCCGATTTGTGGAGGTGAGATGGCCGGCGGTTGGAGGAGGAGGAGAAGAAGAAAATGAAATAAAGGTGACAACGAGCCCGGACTCTTCCTACAGCTAGTCGGTGATCCGATTCCCTCTCCAAGGGTTCTCTCCAAACTCTCCTTCTCTCAACACATAAGAGACAAGAAATAAAAACTGAAATTCTGATAATAATCTTCATTAACCCTCAAAGGAGGGGAAAGCTTTAAATAGCCCAAATAATAATAATAAAATACAAAAGACTCAATTGCCCCTAGGGCATACACATGATTAGGCCCCTAAGCGAGGGCATAAACGAAAAATTACAATAAACTCATGAAACATAATAAAATAATAAATCTAATACAAAGATAATCAAAAGTAGATCGGTGCAATCGTGGTCGTAGATCGTCGGTCCCGCCTCTGGTAAACTCTCCAAGGCCTGATGTCTTCATCATATGTACTTATTTCTCCCCATTTTCATAGTAGATTTATTCATGTGGTGTGACTCCGTGGTTTTTTCTCTATTTTTGGTTATTTCACATTAAATCATTGTGTCCTTTTACTTTCTGCTGCTTTTTTACTTTCTTGTTTATTTCATCGTGTTGTTTTACTTTCCTCTCCAACAACTGTAACAAGTAATTTTGTTATACGACACTGCTATACATAATGGGGTCATATTGTGATTGTTTCCTAGGAGTCATACAGTCTTATATGCTTATATGTTGATACATTGGATAACCATGTCAAACTATATGCAGGGGCATTGACCTATATATATACAACAACAACAATAACATCAAGCCTTTGTCCCACTATGTGGAGTCAGCTACATGAATCCTTTTTCTCCATTGTGTCCTGTTAAAAGTCAAATTCTCATTTGAATCTAATGAAGAAATATCTTTTCTAATATTTTCTAACCAAGTCTTTTTAGGTCTACCTCTACCTTTCTTAATATAAGTCAAATATAATACCTCTACTTTCCTAACGAGGTTATCAGAAGGCCGTTGTTTTATTTTTCTATTTCATATATAGGCCAATGCCTATATATGAAATAGGAAAATAAAAAAAAATGTTGAAATGATCAGATAACCTAAAGAAAATGTCATGTTTGGTAAGAGATGGGTGGGAGCAATGCGACTCCCGATGGGCAGTGCGACCCAGTAGAGACAATGCGACTTCAGTATAATATGAAGCCTACGTGCGATGGAGGCAGTGCAACCTCATGAGCCTACAAGCGATGGAGGCAGTGCGAGCTCATGAGCCTATAGGCGGTACACCTAAGCTTGGACCTACCTAGATCAGGAGTTTACTATGATTCTAGTGGTAGTGGACAGATTGAGCAAATATGCTCATTTTGTTCCCTAACGGCACCCATACACAGCAATATCAATGGCAGTCGCATTCATTATAGAGGTTGTCCGTTTACATGGCATACTCGAGGGCAATTTATTTTCTATTGTAGTTTTCTTTGTGAGTTTCCTAAAGGCGTCTAGGGTTTGTGGTAGAGCCGATCTACCTCTCGAATGGTAGATCAATTGTATCTTGCATTATTGTGAAAGGAGAAATAAAAAAACAATCATTATCTTTTTACTTATAAGATGCATCACAAGGTAACATTAAGACATGCAAGGGTTACCAAACTAAGCTAAGATATGTCCTTAAAGGCGTTAGAGTCAATCTAAATGGCTCAAAGGCATGACTAGACTATGTTTTGGCCAAGACCAACTATGGTTAGTCAAGGGTTAAAAGGTCAAACTACCTATTGAGCCTATAAGTAAAGCTTGGAACAAAACATGTGTGTTCACACCACTTTGCCGCTTCATATAGCATTGTGTGTTCAACTTCAGCTCAGAGCAAAAGTCTGGTACATATTTCATGATTCAGTTTAGCATTTACCATAATAGTTAGGCATAATTGTTTGCTTTGCCTTAATATTTCTCTTTGTTATTGAGTTGTTACTCAATGGTTCTTCATTCTCTCCCACGGTAGCTCATCGCTTCATAGTGGTTCTTCTCTTCATACTCACTTTACCACTAATTCTTATACACTTTTCATTAGTTTTAGTTGTTGCACCAGTAGCCTTTCACTCATAAGCTTCATATCTAGAATGCTCCATGATGCCTCATATCCATACACACTCTCACTTCATGCCACCACTGCCTCTCAATTTCTAGGTGATGAGTATATTGAGTATATTTTTAATTTTAAAGCATTCTTAGATCACCTCATTATTTATATAATTCATATATTTGAACTTCCTTTTGGAGAGAACATAAAAATCTATATGACTTTGCATTGATATTCAGATCACTTCGATGTCATATCCCAAAAAGGACCCCTTTCATTTCATTGATGGCCCTAGAACCCGAACCCTGCTTGCTAGCTTATCACTTCAACCCTTCATTGAATCAAGAACACAAGTTCAACTCCTTAATCAAGTGTTCTCAATCATCGAATCATGAGATATAATTAATCATTCTTAATTTTTCATACTATTATGAGAAAATCTATTGGAAAGATTATTCGATGTCTTTCATCAATTTCCACAGATCTTTAGAACTACTCTAATAATAAATATGAAACTCTTTCAAAGCCCACAATTATATCAAAGTTCTGTAGAACAAACATATGAGATGACATAAATGATTTAATTTTCCAACTCCATGCTTCAATTATTATTTACTTGTGTATTAATATGGTGTTGTAAAGGTCATATTAAGAGTTAACAGCAGCCAATATTTTCTCTAATTACTTGACTCTTAAGCTTAAAACTTTTGATCAAGGAATTGACAAATAATTATTTTTTAATTAATTCAAGGAAATGGGAAATAATTTCTTTTTTATTAATAAAAGAGATTGTCTGCATAATCACCGGTGTCAATATTTCAATACCTACTTAAAAGCAAAATACTCTCCAGAAGCTGAAACTTGAAAAAAAAAAAAAACAAATTTTTATCAATATTTGTAAAGTACTAATCAAGAAAGAACAAGGATCAAAGGTGACTTACTCGGACACACCCGGCTTCCTTTATAGCATGAATTAGAATCTTTTGTTCAAGATATTGAGCAGCTGGAAGTGCAGAAATTACAATGTCCGCTTGTTTCACAGCTTCAAGAAGATTTGCATAATCACTTAGAGACACCTGACTCACGAAATTTTGAAATTATACTTTTAAAGCAAAAATAGGAAATCAACAAAACAAAACATCATTTCAGATATCAAAAGAACTACTTCAACCCATCAACTATGGTAACTAATCTTCTCATAGTCATGGTCACACAATGTCTGTCAAAGTTGATTGAGAAGGCAGAAGTTGTTTCTTTTCCACTCCCCCGCTTGCATTTTGGCATGATTCAGTTGGGATAACGCTAACAATTATGAGAAATATTTGTATACATATTTGCATGTAGCCAAGCACTGGGAAGAACTATTGTAGTATAGCAATAATCTTAGCTGATTTCTTCTTCGAAAATGTCTTAATTTACTTTATGAAATCACAGAATGGAACTCATTGTTGTGCACCTAAGCTAATACCAAAAGACAATTTGGCATTTTCGACTGGTTTCATCAGCCGATATCATGGCTAGTCTACATGATAAAACCACAAATTACGATGATGAGAGAATAATAATCATAAATCACTCAAAAATTAACTTGAATTGAAATGGGTCTGATTCAATTAATTCAAATTGAGTATCGATCCGCACATTAAAATAGTTTTATTTTTCAAAAAATTTCAAGTTTGACTTGACTTGATAGAAAATTAGAAATTGTTTCAAGACAAATTGAATATATATTACATGCATATGAACTTACTAAATAGTAGTGATTTATTTGTTAGCTCGGTGGTCGATTGTTTTCTACGCTCAATAGAATGGCATTGGTTTGAGTTGTGCTCCAACACTTTTTTCCCTTTTTATAAAAAGAAATTAGCACTGAACATTAGATCAATATTTTTTTTAAACCAACAGGTAAACTTTAGAGTTTAAACATAAGATTAAAGGGTTTATTATATAATCGATGTATGATGTCCATCTGTCTTCCTCCATTCCTTTCATGCAAGTTTTTTTACATAAACATTATCGCCTAATTGTCTTCCTCTTCCTTTCACTAAATCTTTGACATTGACAGAAACATCTCCTTCAAAGTCCTCCCTGGTCACTGCAACAGTTAGTGTGCTCCAAGAAAATGCAACCTCGTTGACAGGAACAAGGGTGTCAACTAAAGTGGGCACAACCAGGAACAAGTTCATGGAAGGCCTAAGCATGTAACTATATTCAGAGAAAGGGATAGCGAGCGAGTGAAATGATCATGTAATTTGCATAGATGAGTGTGAAGCAGAATGTTTATGAGCAGTGAAGTGAAGGATTGGTTTGATCAAGAAAATTTTGAAGGCTTAGACAATACTGCAAATAGACGTGAGACTAATAAGCATGGTAATCAAGAGCAAGGCAAAATGGCTGTGAACAGTGGTTGTTGAAGTAGCAGGAGCGATGAAAGCAGAAATATGTGCAAGAGTAAATTTAGCCATTTTGAAATTTAATATTGGTTATTTGGTTTAAATCTTATAAATAGATAATGAGAATTCTAAAAGAAATGTGAACCAATGCATTTTACACAGCAACCTGTCCAACATTAGTGGAAAAAAGAAAGTATAGAAATTTTATCATGTCAGACTTGCACAACCCCATATCACAAGAAACTGTTACTCAATTTCTCATAAACCAAACAAGAAAAAAATAACATTTTTCACTAATTCTCTCAACAAAAAAAGTGAGGCAAAGCAAGTTTCAATACAATTCCTTTATCACTATCATTAATGTTTCATGTCTTGTAAATCCTTCAAACAAAGCAAACCATACATAAATTTCCATCAGGAATCCCATGTATAATTAGGCCCCATTTGGTTTAAAGGAGCTGAAAAAGAAACCAAAATTAAATGAAAATGATGGAATATTTGAATTGGAATTAGTTTCATGAGCTTGTTTGGTTGAGGAAATTTTAAGAAAAAAGTTTTTCCTTTATTGTTACGTTGTTGATTTTTTTTTTTTTTTTTTTTTTTTTTTTTTTTTTTGAGGCATGTATGTGTATCATAGCAATTACCAGAAAATTTTTTCTTCCCACTTTTCACTAAGGTTAGGTAGGGAATTGTTAGAGAAAAAATGCGTTTGTTTGCCTGCCTAAGTAAATGCAAATTCAATTACCTATTAATTATATTAACAACAAACACCCCCTAAGAAAATATAAAGTAAAATACATTTACAGAACCCCCACCCCCAATTCCTTCAAACCAAGCAAACTCTGATGGAATTTCTATGTAAGGAATTCCTTAGATAACTTGTGAAAGGTTTCCACTCACGAAAATGAAACCAATAAGCCTTTCAAGGCTCAATCAAACAGCATTTCAAGAACAATAGTCCAATAACTCCATCTATGTTATGAAAAATGATGAAAACCTTGCGATGGCTTCCATAATTCCATGAAAACTTTAGGGTTTTAGCTTGCACTAAAAGGAATGCCCTTCAAAAACAATAACATCACACATTTGGTGGAATAGAGAGAGAGAGAGATGAGGGCATCAAGGTACCTTAACGACAATCAGCAAAGAAACTAAGAGATAATTTGCAGGGATAAAAAAAAAGCAAGATCACATGTGATGATAAAATAGGGGTGATTAGTAACCAAGCTCACATTTAAAAGCTCCCACCTTATTCTCCATGTAGCCTTGATAACCAGAACTTGACTTTTCTTCTCTTTTGCCAATTCCCTTCTTCAGCAAAGATAGTTTATTTTATACAAATTGAATGGATTGGAGGTTAGATTCTTTATAAGATTCTTTAGGCCTTCAATAGGGGGCTATGATGCACAGATACGACACGGCGACACGGATACGACACGACACGGACACGGGACACGTCAGTTATTAAAAATATAGGACACGGACATGGGTTGGACACAGTATTATAGTTTTTATATTTAAAAAATAGTGTATAAAAATTAAATAAGTATAATTTTAAAAATAATTTGAAAAAAATAAGTCATTTAACTAGAATTTGTGTTTAAAATGATTAGTATTAGGATGTCGAGAGTCAGACGTCGATGCCATTTATCAGTCACCGAGAGAGGAGATGAAAATACCTTCACTGCCAAAAAGAAATAAAAATGAGAATATTCGATGATTGGGTATTAAGTGCGGACGTTGATTTGGTGTTGTGGATAGAAAATAAGAAATTTAGTTTAAATCCCGCCAAATACAAGAAATTATATTTAAAAAAATTCATAAAAATATTTAAAATACGCGTGTCTAATTTGTATTTAATATTTTTTTAATCGGACACGTTTTTAGCGTGTCCGACACGTGTCGGAGGAGTGTCGGACAAGTGTCGTGTCAGACACTGCACGCCTCTTTGAGGAGAAGTGTCGGTGCATCATAGATAGGGGGCAACATAAAGCAAAATTGAAAGCTAAATTTTAAAATAACTTGAGATCAATTTAAGCTGTTTCAAGTCAACTTATGAGTAGATCAAGCAATAGTTTCTTATTTGAATAAATTTCCAAGCCAATTTTGAGCTATGATGATTCACTCAAAGTATGATTTATTAAACTCAAATAATATAATAGTCATATTATGTAGGGAGAAATGCATGAGGCCAAAAAATAAACTTTTATGTTAGTTATAAGCTTTTTACATTTTTTTACTATAAGAAAAATAAATATTTGTGAAATTTTAATAAAGCATTTTTTTTTAAGTTTACACTGATGCCACTAAAATTACATTATTTACATGCGTACCACACATGCAAAAAAAGAACTACAAAACACATGCATTTGTATCTACCACAGCCAAACTATTGGAAATTTAATGAATATGGGTTAGAGTTTTGTTCTGAATTTTGACAAATGGAGTTAGGAGTTCATTAGTTTTATAAATAGACAATATTTAAGGGCATGTGAAATTAATCATACATTTGCACACAGTATTACATGTTGAGCAATTTCAAGATAGTAGAGTTTTGTTCTTAATTTTGATATTTTAGTGAAATTTTGACAAATGGAGTTGGGAGTTCGTTAGTTTTATAAATAGACAATATTTAAGGGTATATGAAATTAAACATACATTTGCACACAGTATTACATGTTGAGTAATTTCAAGATATATAAGAATCAAGTTGAGCGAAAAACATATGTATCATGTAAGTAATGCATTAACAATTTTGAATCAACTAGAACTACAATTAGAGAGCAAGTGACTTTCAAGTCAGACTAAACTCGATATTTTGACTTCAATATAATTTTGACTCGCTTAAACTCTATTCAATGCTACCCATTTTTTTGTGTTTATTGGAATTTGGGAAGTAAAATTTTAGAGGGCATTAAATTGCTACTGTGTTTAGCATAAGATGTGTAATGCTTTTCCATTTTCCATAAGCATCACCAAATAATTTAAGAAAGAAAGAAATTTATACATGGATTATTAAAAATGATGAATGTTCTTAATTTTCTTAAGTTGATTGTGCCCTTTTTTTGTTCTTTCTTTTAACAAGGTCATCTTCAATAATATGATAAATACATCCTCTTCACTAGTAAAAAAAATGATGGAAACGCTTTATAATGATGAAATAATATAGTCAAATATGTATCAATAGCATATTTATATGTTACTATTACTTTGCATTGTCTAAACAACTACACTAAATGAACCCCAACCAAACCTTCATGCTATTAAGGTTTAATGGTTGCATATTTAGCAAGTCTTACCTTTCTACAAAGCTTATAATAGTTTGAGTCAGAAGTGCAACCAAATTTGCAAAATCCATAATTCCTATAAAAAACACTGATATACATGTGTCAAAATTGAAACATATTGGCAAACTCGCAACACGATCATAAGCATTGGAACTGCAATGAGTGTTTGATAGTAAAATTTCATTGTGCCTCTCAGTAGACGTGTGGGCTTGTCTCTTAATGAGCTGGCATTCTACATTGACAGACTTAGTTCCCTGAACCTTGAAAAATGGTTGTGAATTTATAGAAGCTTTCAGAGCCTTATAGATAATTCTAGTTTTTTAACAAGCTGTTGGTTTTGGAGTCCTGTCGATAACTTTAAATCTTATAGAAGCTTATGGAGTTTTGTAGATAGCTCTAATCCTTGTATTTGAGGCCTTGGGAACCTAATCTATAAAAAGGAAGCGATCATTTTAATCATTGCAATTTTGAGAGTTAATAAGAATTCGAATAGTTTTCCCTCTCTTGAGTTCCTAAGAGCAAGCGTAGGTGAGATCATCATTGTTGCTCACACAACCCCACTCAAAAGAAACAAAAACCCAATTTCCCATCAACCAAACAAGACAATTATTATTTTCACTAGTTTTCTGCTCAACCAAACAAGATAGACAAAGCAATTTTCAATACAATTCCTTCGTCATTTTTATCAGCATTTCCTTTCTTGTAATTCCTTCAAAGCCAACAAAGCCCACATCAATTTCCCTAGCATAATTTGCGATACTTAAAAAAAGCATTCTAGGGATTGACTATAACTAAAAGGAATGCCCTCAAAATAAAAAAATTATTATTTGATTCCGCGTTGGTAGAGAAATAGATGCTGCTAACGAGTGATAAAGTTGGTACCTTGAGGACAGTAACACCGGAATCGACGAATGAGCGGAGGAGAGATGCTTTGTGGGGGACGGAGAAGGCGGATTCACGTGCAACGGCAAGGGTGGGGTGGCCAGCCACTAAGCTCGCCTTCACGAGCTCCTGCCCCATTCTCCCTGTCGCTCCGATCACCAAAACTCTGCTCTTCTTCTCCTCCTCCGCCATTTCCAGTCTCTAGGCCTTCAGAATTTGCTCAGAATTGGAATTTGCTCAAAACATCTTTAGCTTAGGATGCGCCACAAATAATGAATTTTTTATATTTATATTTCAAATATTTAAATTTTAACAATTCTTAGAAATTAATATTAAGAAAAAGAGAGGGTCAAAGAAATTGCTCAATAGTTAATGTTAGATAACTTTTTATTGATTTATAAAATATTTTTTTACTTAAATTTGTTTTATTTAAAAATTTTCAAATTTTCATTTTAAGAAGTTGTTAGAAAATCATCCTAAACTAAGGTTACGTTTGTGACGACTTTCTTACTGCTTCTTAAAGCAGTTTTTCAGAACATAAAATTTTTGTATTGCAAAGTTGTTTTAAGAAACAGGAAGAAAGACATTGTTGATTTATATGATTAATATATTTTTTGGGTGCTCAATATAAATCATTTGAAGTAATTAAAAAATAGAGGCAATTTATTGTATGATACTAAATTTGTATGCATAAAACTAGCATCAATTACTTTCATTTTATTCTTTTTTTTATTTACTTCAACTATCAATAATTTGATCAAAATAGCACAAATATATTAATTTAATAATTGTAAATATTTATGTAATAAATAAGAATATTTTTTATTACACGCGTTTAAAATTAGGGAAATTTACATATATACCACTTTATTTTATGATATTTACATATCTAACACCCAAAATATTAATATTACATGTCTACCACTCATATACAACTTTAATATCAAATGTACCACTCCTATAATTCATTTCTACCATTCATACAATCCTATAAATTTTAATATTTCATTTCATGCACCTAAATTTATTCTATGGACGGTAGTCATGTAATATTAATGTTTTGTGTTAGATATGTAAATAATATGAAATAAAGTGGTATTTATGTAAAAAATTATTGGAGTAATGGTATTTGCTTATCAAATAAATATTATAATTATTTTAATGATGTAAGGATATTTTCTTTACATAATAAATACGTTTTATATTATTTATTTTTGAAATTTGAGATATAATATTTAGAGCGCTTAAAAAGAATTAGTAAAGTTTCCTTTTTGAAGAAAGAATTTAATTTTTTCCCAAAAAAAAGAAGAATTTATTAGAGTTAAATAAACAGTTGGGGAGTTGGTTGGTGACATTCATATTTCAAAACACACCTTCAAAGCTACCTTTTTTTATCTAGAGGCTATATAAAAGAGATGAGGAATAAAATAAATCTAATTATTTGTAGTTATTTGGACAAATGTAAACAGATTTTTTTTTTCGCTTAAAGTAAAATGAATATTATGCAAAGTCAAATAATGTTAGTGGTCGCGGCCAGCTGTTGGTGGTAGTAAAGGCCATAGCGGCACTACGGGGACTTATAGCAGGCTATGACAAAAAAAAAAAATTTATTCTGTACGGACGCCGAACGCCGTCTCTAGATTAACTAGAATGTGTTACATTACCCTTTCGCTCAATACCGAGGCTCGATGTCGCTGACGTGGCTGCACCTGATTCGTCTCCAGATGTAGAGCTACGTCCGGCCTCCGCACATAATAGCTTAGCTTGCGATGAAAAAAAAAAAAGAGTTTATGATAACCTCAAATTAAAATTTTATATTATATTTCTTTTTCATCAAACTAAATACCCAAAAACTAAAACAACCGATCAAACGAGAGATTATTCTGTGCGGACACCAGACGGGAGAACCGTCTGGTACCGCTCGGTATTGCGTTCGGTACCGAGCGTGGTACACTTTTGAGGTAAAAGTGATATTTTTTATTGCTCTCTAAACGTCATCCCGACTCCCCACAGAATAATTTGTCCAATCAAATAGCCCTTTTTTAGTTATTTTTATTTCTCACGTGCACATAAATTTGCTTTTGTAGATGTGCTGGACATAGGAAGGGACCACAACTGAATGAATAGAAAACTCTACCAGCTTTACAATGGAATACCATAGCTCTTAATTTTTGGATGACAAGTCTTTTCAGCCATCTTGTTGAATGTTTCATCTACTTTTTATTAGATTTAATGATGTTAGGAACAAATATTATTATTTTATTGAAGATATAATAAGAATCATAAGAGGAGAGAGAAAAATACTGAGTCACAAAAGTAATTGATAATTAAGTGATTTAGGCTCTCATAGATTCTTGATTGATAGGACTTAGGCTTCCTTTGGGACGATTTTTTATAATTTTTATACTAAAAAATTGCTTCAAGAAGCAATAAAAAAGCCGTCCCAAATGAAGCCTTAGGTGATTATATATAAGCATATGCTAACTTGTCTCAATTTTCTAAATTTTTAAATATATGTGGCTAACAATTACAAATGAAATTAGTTACCATTATTTGAATTGTGGCGCACTTGTTTTAAGGTTTATTTGATTGAATGGGTTCTAAGTATATAACATTTTAAATGCAGGAGTGTTGAAATTTCGAGTGTTTGATTGATGATTGATTCAATTTAGAGTGTATTTTTTAAGAATTTGGAATCCATTAATTAGTTTTTAATTGATGTATTTGGAATTCACTAAATTCATGTGAATTCCAAGTATGTCGCTCCTCATTCACTCTCGAAGGAACTTTTATTTGATCCGATCACAGGACGTAGCTCTACGTTCGGCCGCCAATAGAATCGCGCCACGCGTTCTCATTATTTACCGCGCGCCCCAACAATCCGACCCGGAACGGACCCAGGATGGCTCGGTATTTCTCGATTTTGCTAGGTATTGCTATGTATTGATCGATTTTGCTCGGACTAATTTTTCCGATCAAACAGCCCCTTTTTTAGTTATTTTTATTCCTCATGTGCACATAAGTTTGCTTTTGTAGATGTGCTGGCCATAGGAAGGGACCACAACTGAATGAATAGAAAACTCTACCAGCTTTACAATGGAATACCATAGCTCTTAATTTTTGGATGACAAGTCTTTTCAGCCATCATGTCTACTTTTTATTAGATTTAATGATGTTAGGAACAAATATTATTATTTTATTGAAGATATAATAAGAGTCATAAGAGGAGAGAGAAAAACTCGGTACAACTCGGTATTTCTAGCAAATACCGAGTTTTTCTAGAAAAACTCTGTAAAAAAAAACTCGGTGCAACTCTATATTTCTCGGTATTACTCGGTATTTGTCTTCACAGAGCGGTATTTCTCGTTATTGTCAAGCAATATCGAGCAATGCCGAGCAAATACCGAGTAATACCTCGCAATACACGAACATAGCACTCCCGGGTTCCGGTCCGGGTCAAGTCGTCGGGCCGCGCGGTAAAGAGTAAAAGCACGTAACAACATGTTATTGGCGGCCGAACATAGCTCTACGTCCGGTCAGAGAACGTAATAAAAGGCCTCCACACGATGTCTAGCATCTCTTATGCTTCATGCATGTTGACCTCCTTATAAGATTTTACTATCTGAAACCTCCACTACGTGAACCGATTTTTTGAACCTCCAGCTTACACAACATGATCGTCGACAACCATTGATAAACCTTCATGGGTAATAAGCCCTATCTCCTCCTCTGACTCCATCGCTTGGAAGCCCACAACATCACTATATGTCCACAATCTAAGCCAAATTACAAGTTTTTTTCACTCTATCGTCAATTTATTATTTCGGGACAATTTATTAACAATACAATATGCTTAAAGATAATTATAATTCTAATTCTTGTTCATCCAACTATGATACTCCACCCATGAAGGATTACCTACATAATTATCTGAAGTATTGATTAATGATTATGAGATTAAATGGCATAATTAACTTGTTAATGAGTCATTAATATATTATCAAAGTGATAAATCACCCTAATTGAATTTGATTAGCCATGCTAATTAATAATAAAATATGATTTTTATTGTCCTAATTAATTTTGGAATAGTCGCTAAAATTCAAAATAATATGGTAAAACAAAATTGCCATGCCAAGATCTCACTTTTCAAAATTTAATGTAATCCCTTCCAAATGCTTACATCTAACAAATATTTTATTGAAATAAATTATTTAAAATCCCAACTACTTTTGCCTTCATCAGTCGTGCCTTCAAAATTCCTTTATTAGGTGGTTCCAACATTAACTCTTTAAGGAGCTTCACAATAAATTCTTTCAAACGCAAAATATATTTGCATCTTTCCTATAGCTAAATAAAATTTAATGTACTAATAATTTAAATATATATTTTTAAATTTATACTAAAAAATTCTTCATGAAACATTACAAAAATTATATGAAACAAACTTAAATATCTATTATAATATAGCTGCTAGAAAAGTGCATAAGTAGGGCTACAAACGAATCGAACCGAGACGAGTATGTACATGGTCATGTTTGAGTTTGTTTATTATCAGCTTGTTCAAATTTTGTTCGTGTTCGATTCGAGCTTTTTTTGTTTGTGTTCAAGCTTGATTCGTTTAGATTAATGGGTGTTCATGTTCGATTCATTTCGTGCTCATCGAGCTTTAAACAAACGAGATATATCAAGCTATAAACAAGCTCTACTTCTTGATGTACATTAACTTAACAAACGAGTCTTCTAACAGATAATTACATCGAGCTTGTTTGTGAATATATATAACAAAGTTTTTTAAACTATTAAAAAACCTCGTTCACGAATATATAAAATGAGTATTCATGAGCTAGCAAATGAGGTCGTTCATGATCATATCAAATTAGTGTTTTCAAGCTACCAAAAGAGCTCGTTCACTAGCAAATTATATATGATTTATCTTATATTTCTCCAGAGAGCAGACTATTCGCAATTTTAGGTGGATGCGGGAAGTAAAAAATAAATAATTAAATGATTTTAGATGAAATTAGTAAAATTTACTTATTAAATTTAATAATATACATTTTTTAAACTCTAATATAGCTCTAATCGAGCTTCTTAGTCGAGCTCTAATTAAGCATCTTAACGAGCTTGTTCACGTGTGTTAAACAATGCTATTCATGAACATAAATGAACCAAACGTCAAGTTGTTCAAGCTAGTTTATTTAGCTATCAAAAAATTATCAAAAGTGTTCAAACTCTTTTGCTTAACTTATCAAATGAACATAAATGATCACTTATTGAGATGAGCCATTATTATATTGGCAAGCATTTATATATTCATTTACAACCCTATATAAAATGAACTTTTATTTGGTCTTGTCACCTGACATAGCTCTACGTTCGGACACCAGTAAAATAGTGTCACGTGTTCTCATTATTTACCGCGCGACCCGACAACCCGACCCAAAACGGATACGGGATTGCTATGTTCGCGTCTTGCTAGGTATTGGTCGGTTTTGCTCAGCAATAACGAGAAATACCATTTTGTGAAGACCAATAAGGAGCAATACCGGTATTGCTCGGCATTTCTCGGTATTTGTCTTCACAGAGCGATATTTTTCATTATTGCCAAGCAATACCTAGCAATACCGAGCAATACGCGAACATAGCAATCTCGGGTCAGTCGTCGGACCGCGCGGTATTAAGTAAGACCACGTGGCGACATGTTATTGGCGTCCGAACGTAAAGCTACATCAGGTCACCTGACTTAATAATTGTTCATATAAAACGGGACAAATTATAAAAAGGAGCAAGTTTAATACCTAAATACGCATAAGGATCGTAGAGCAGAAAAAATTTAAAAATGAGCGAAACCATACCTCGAAAATTCGGTTTCTATAGAAACCGGAACATCAAAATATGGTTTCTATGGAAACCGAAACCGGATTTTCAAAATATGGTTTCTATGGAAACCCGATTTTCATTAAAATAATAATCTATAGAAACCCGATTTTCAAAATCGTGTTTCTATAGAAACCTGATTTTGAAAATCCTATTTCTATACATTATTATTTTAATAATATAAATTTTATATTTAAATATAATTAAACTGGTTAATTAATTTTTTTAATAAACAATTTGTTTTATTTTAATAATTTAAATTGTATAGTAATTTTTTATATGTAAAACATATAATTTTTTTAAAAATATTAATTATAAAAATTATGAAATTATTATAATAATTATTTTAATTTAAGAAATTATAAATTAAATTCATATATAATTAAATAAATAAATTATAAAAAATATAAATTATAGTTCAATTCGACTATAAGCATGTTATGTTTAGAA